GGCCCGTGGAAATGGCTTGGGAGGCTGGCTAGCGACTTCCTCAGGATAAAATGGGCCACTATCCCAACCAAGCCTCACAGCTTCTTTCAACTGCTGGAGCTATGAACTCCTGAACTCTCTTCCTGGGCCTGAGCCTCAGCCAAACAGATAAAAGAGGGGATGGGGGTGAAAGGGAAAAATATCACATAAAAACATGAAATAAATGGAAATCCCTCCTGACCCCCAAAAAACCAAACCACCACTGTCTCTCAATATTGGAATTATCTTCTACCTTATTATGCATAGTATGTTCAAGGAGAGAAGTCAGTATACAACTTCTGGATATTCTGCCTCTCTATATACTATTTGAAAAAATGCATAAGGATTCAGTTGTGGTTGACTGCTCTTCTTTCTTAATTTTTCTTTACAATTGTCCTTTTCCCACATTATGAAAGACATGCTCTCTTTTCACTCATCCTCAGCCTTGCTCTATTACTATATCATAAAGACGCACAGTGAGAAACCCTAAAGGTACCAAAGGAACAATTCAAAATACTGATGTCCATGAAGACTCCTTTATTCAAAGTATCAATTGCAGTTCTTTTTGAAAGCTTTACTTTCTATGCATTTTTCCTTTAATTTCCAGTATTTTTTCTCATAGAAAAGGAGTCCAAGATTATAAATATATAAAACATAATTTTATAAGACATAAGAGTGGTGTACCAAGTTTGAACAAATATTTTAATAAAATATTTTCATTATTTTGAACACCCTATCACAAATCTTCCTACTTAAAACAAATAGTGATCTCTTCCAAATAATAACCAATTTGCTTTTATTGTTTAGACTTAGGGCTAATGATTTTAAGTAAGGTGCTACTTTTCATTGGATGTTTATTGAACTGTTTCAAATTTCTGTGGGTTAAATAATGCTATTGGAAAAATTGTATTCCATATTCAAATTTCCAAAATTGATCTGAAAATGATCTTTATGGGTATTTTTATTGGTTGTCATAATTAATTCAGACACCGCTAAGATGGTCTTCTTTTGGGGAAAATATTCCCATCCAACTACTCAGGGCCAAACCTCAAATAAACTGATTTCCTTCCCACCAACTCTCATTTCTTGAGAATTGGTTTTGAGTAGTGAGCATGTCAAGTGGTAGCAGTTGTGTTGTTGGAAGTATGGTGTAATGGTTTACAAGCTATAATTGGAGTCAAAAATCTCATTGCAATCCAGTCATCATAATTTCCAAACTGTCATGAATGTGCACAAGTAATTTTCCTAATTTTTATTTTTGCAATAGTAAACTGTTCATAATTATGCTTCTCTTTCCTATTAAAATGATTAAGTTGAATACATTTTGTTAGTGCTTCAAGTGTAGTAAATGTTCACACATGATAGGTTAATACATCATAATTAGTAATACTTCAAAAAGGTTGAATTTAGGTGTTAATCTTCAAATCACTGAGGAAAATACTGTAACACTCATTCTCTAATGGCAACACCATGCAGACATTTTATTTTTTCTTAATGTTGAACATCATGTTTAAAAATTAAATAGAAATAATATCTGTGTTAGGTACTTGGATGTCTTTCTCTTAGAGATATATTTATATGT